CAAACACAACATCAAGCTTGGGGTCCCCCCCCCCCAATTGGCGGCCAGCATCACCACCGACTGGTGCAGGCGGCTGAACGTTCCGTCGGCAAAGGTGGAACCACCGTCCGCCACCACCGCACATCTGTTGTAAGGGTCCAGGGCTCAGGTTAGGAACCCGGGCAAGCAGAACCGTTTAATTGGACGAGGCAGCTGATGGATGCCGAGCCCTCGCCTCGGGTCGGGGTTAAGGCTCGAGGTTAAATAGACCGACGACATCATCGCAAGAGCGGTTACGCTGAAAACATTCAAGCGGGAGGCGGGTTGCGGGTGGTGGGGTGGTTGCGGAGGGGGTGGGGGGGGGGGTGAGGTCGAGAACAAGAGAGGTTCAGGAGAAAGTGTCGCTCGTCGATGCCGATGCGCATCGAGCGATGTGGAGGTGCGTGCTCGCGCGTGCCCGTCTTATTTCATTATTCCACGTTTATTATTATTATTATTCGGAGCCAGCTGTCGTCCTCGTAAAACACAAATGTTGCATTTTAAAACCCCCCTGCCGAGGTGCCTTCGTGAGATGGGCTACTTTCACGTGCTCGTCTCGGCCACGCACCGTCTGGATTTACGTTTTGCTTTTAGTTTCTCTTTTTTTAAGCAAAAAAAAAAAGCTATTTTTTTTTCACGTAAGTTTGGCAACTCTATCCTCAGCCAGGCTCTATCCACCGCTGGATGTCACCGTCTTGAGGGTGCAACGTACGCGTCTGTGGCACCCGTGCACGAGCGAATTTCACATCGCTGCATCCTCCAAACTGATTTCACGTGAATTGGCAAACTTTTCGATAAAACTTTTTGAACCATAAACGGGTTCTTAAAGTCGCTCGAGTTTTCTAATCTCGACAGAGCGCCGACCGTGTGGCGGGTTTCAGGTGAGAAGGAAAAATCGCCGGAAAAAATTGCGGTCGTCGATATCGGCACGAGAATTTACCGCTGCGATTAAAGTAACAAGCCACCGTGGCTCCTCTCCAACAGTTCCCTCCGCTGCACCGAGCACTCCCGAATGTACAGTCGCTCCCGCAAAAGGTAACCCTTATATGGTGAACGCATACCTTTTACAGGCACTCCATTAAATCAACGCAATTTTTTTTTTAGCGTAATGTATCCCGGCCGCAGTGTGTACTAGAGTAATGTAGATGTTATCCGGATGTACAGCACTGGTTTATAACATTATCCCCCCCCCCCCCTGCAGTGTTTACACTGTGTGTCAGCGTGGGGGAAATGGAATTTTTTTGAAGACTATTTTTATTATTATGTTGTTTTTTAAATCAGTAACAAACCTAACTGTCCACTGCCCTTCCCTCACAACTCAATGAATTGTCACGATTGAGGGTCATCACGATTCGATACAAGAATTTATAAAAAATTTGTAAACATTGCGGTGACTGAAACGAACCAAATCCATCCAACAATCTGCTGCTCCCTCAGCCTGCAACTCCCTGCCCCCAGTAATCTGTGCCATAAACTCCCTGTCCCTGTCTCAAGTCCAGGATCTTTTTTTTAAAAAAACTTCCCTTTTTTTCCTTATATCTATGACTGACCGTTCTGGCATGGATTTTGTGTACTTAATATTTGTTTTTTGGCCATCGTTAGCTTGCAGCTTCCCTCCCTGCGATGTCCTGTAACTGCCACCACTGTCAAAGTCCTTGGGCTGTGGTCGTTCCCGTAAAAGAGCAGCTTAGTTCAGTGGGGCTGCACCCGGCTGTAATAAAGTCCGCGTCCGACTGCCTCTCTCTGTCGAACAAACCTGCCCCGCTGTATCTGTGCAGGGTCTTGTCATGTCGTCACATTTTATTTCCTCTCTACATCTACCGCTGTACTGATGCGTGCGAATCAAAGCGTCGATGCTTTCACACGCTATGCAATGCGTGCAATCGCAGACTTAATAAAGGGGATATGGGATCAGCGCATCGTTAAAATCTCCCACCTTGTGTGCAGAAATAAACGAAGCATTTCTGAAAGGTATTTAAGATTCGAAAACCGTCACTTAAAAACAAACGAAAAATAATGCGGTTATAACGGCAAATCATTTGTAATTTTAAACGCCCTACATTAGCATTGGTGCATAGCACGACTCCCTCCACGCTTGCGTCCCGTCAACCCGAGCCAGCCTACACCGCGTGAGATTGTATTCAAATTTGGCAAAGTCTGAGTTCACACGTTATCTGATATGCCCCATGCTGCCTTGCCAACATCACGGTTACCAAGGTTGCTCGCAGTGTTGGGAAGAGTGTATCAGAAGAGCACCAGGCAAAATTGCTTCATCACCCTCACTGCTCTGGTAAAGCTTTTTTTAACGCCACTAAACAACAACAAAAAGAAGTGTATTTTAATGTTTAATTTTGAGCAGCAAATTCGCTAAATCCGATTTCTGTGCCGGGATGCAATAAAACACCTCGGTGTTTGGACTTGCAAAATCTTGGCAGACCGTCGTGCCCGCCCGCCCCCCCCCCCCCCCCCCCCCCTCTAACACTAATGTTAATCCCATCACAAAAAAAAAAACGCTGGAACATATAACATAACATAATTACGCACGCTCCGTTCTACCCGAGTCTAAAGAGCGGCTCCAGTGTAAACTTACAAGGCGGCTTAATTCCGGTTGCGTACGCGGTTTAATCGCACGTGGGACGGAGAGGCACGTCAGCTGAGAAAGTATCTACTTTCCTGCAAAAGTGACTCAAGTAATGCCACTTAAGGGATGGAATTGTACTATAAGACTTCAAGCAAGCAGCATTTATTTAATCGCTTCGTGTCTACGTGGGAAAAAGTCAAAACATTGACATTCTGATGTCATTAACCTGATAATGATCATCATCCGATTAGGAAACGGTGTTCAGCATTCCATAAGGTTTGCCAGTGAATCGTAAATCACAGCAACTGACAAGTTCATGATGGCAAACTAAGCCAGGCTTCACTCTTCATAATCATTTTTTTCACGAATGTGCTACTCACAGTGATCGATTGTGGGAGTGATTTAAGGGCCAGGCTTTTGCTGTTGTTATTTTTATTTGTTTAAACAGGACGTAACATCTCGTGAGACATTCTTGGAGCAAATATTTGGATTTGGTTAATATGAGGATGAGCAAGATGAGATAAGGTAGCTAAAAAAAAGATGAACAGGAAATATTTTTCAATGAAAACAAAAACAACCCCCATTGGATTCAAGAACATTCACAAGTTCAGAGCCAACAACGTAGACCAGCGGTTCTTAACCTGGGGGTAGCGTGATGCCCTTTCTGGGGGTGCGTGACATGAGCAGATTTTCTTTTTAAGGTAAATAATCGAAACACAAATTAATTACTTTATGGGCATGTAAGTACTTTGGTTCATCAAACCCTATGTGTTTATTCACATTAAATATGTTTTTACCATTGAGAACCAAAGGGGTGCAAGGCTGCAACAAGTGTTAAGAACCACTGAGGAACACAATTTTGACCGGTTAAGAAAAAATAATCTCGCTTGGGCAGAACACGCCGCAAGAAGCGGACAATGACCCGGCGGTCGAGGGTAATAATGGAGTGGCTGTCAAAGGAGGGAACATCCCCAATAGGACATCCACGGAGATGGAGCTATGAAGTCAGCTTTTGTGGATCATCTGATGAATCGTCACATCACGAGACAGCGAGAGATGGCGACGGCTTGGAGAGAGTCCTTCATTCAGCGTTGGATAGATCGAGGATGACGATCTAAAAAATTTAATAAAGCAAAGCATTCAAAAAAATAACTATCAATGCCAGCAACATGGACCACAAATAATGCTTGCGTGTTCCTGTGTGGAGCCGAGCACGTAGAAGGAATTTGGGAGTCGGAGAGGGCACAATCTGTACTTTTTAGGAAGCGTTCCTGAAACACAGATAAAACCACAGGAATGCCACCCGCCCCATACTAGGCACAACGAAACCACGGGGACAGGAACGGAAAACACCGCGGGCACAGCGAGAGGCGAGCGGATGGGTGCCGCCCACTGTTCTCGCCCGCTTAAAAATTCGACCCGGCTCAACCAACCCCAGATGCGAAGCATGACCTGGCCGCTCAGACGCGGCACGGGGAAGGTGCCCATCCAGTCGGTGCTGGAAATCCCACATTCCTATGGCAGGGATGAGTCAGAGCAGCCTCCGTCGTTGACTTCACGACCATACGGCACTCGTTTTACCAACGCCTCAGGACGAGCGGGCCCGATTGCACGGCCGATTTGTGAGGCGATGAACACACCCTCCGCGGGGGTGTGTGCCACCCTTTGTTTGGGCGTGTCACAACAGGTGTCTCTCGTGTGAATAAAGGGGGTCCCCCCCCCCGAATGAAGAAACTTCAGAAGCCGTTCTCTGAAATCGTTTTCCCTCCGGCTGTTTTGGCAGCAGGGGACGATTCTCCTCCTGCCACTAGCTTAAGAGAATTCTGAACGGGAATTCCACTTTGTAACAATCGGGTGGAGCTGATGAATTGTCACGATTTGCGCTCGAGATTTTATTCCACGGTGTAAAAAAAATTTTGGCGTCGAGTTTTTTGCGGTCTCGTTTGTGTTTTTCTACTTATTTCCCCACCACGCTTGTACACTTTGATTCGCTCCATCAGCACAAATTATTATCTGCAAAAACTTGCCTTTGAATTGCATTCATTTTAAAATAATCGATTATCGATCACACAACCATTCACATGTAGGAATCGATTATAAAAGATGGATCTAGACAGCATTGCACGCCCGCCCAGGAAACGTGCAAACATTGGGTCAACGTTGACATATGGTTAAAACCGTTGGACCAACGTTATATCCTAACGTTATCCTAACATAGTCCCAACATTCCATGTTTACTGGGTACTGGTGCAGACATCGTCAAGATAAGAAAACATTTTTCTTGGCCTTTTTGTGTGGAGGGGAGGGTGGTGGGGGGTTAAACCATTCATAAAACTCCACGAAACAGCTCGGCCTTCGCCTTCAAATGGACACTCGGACTGGCGCAGAGGTGCGTACTCACAGATGATGTAGTAGTCCCTGCCCCGCTGGAACTCCAGGCCCAGGACGCTCGGGCTGAACTCCTGGAACTTGATGGTGTACTTGACGTCGCGGTCGGGCCGGTTGCAGGTGAGCAGCGGGTTCTTGCGGCGGGTCGTGTCGCACGACTCCGCTTCCGACTGCGTCACCATGTACAGCTTGTACTGGTAGGTCTCCGTCGCAGCCCCAGAGGACGAGGGCGAGCCGAATCCCGTACCTCCTCCCGGAGGGCCTCCATCGCCGATGCGGGGACACACGATGTCAAGCTTGTCGCCAATTTGTGGGTAGACGACCAAGCCGCCACGTCCTGGCTGGAATCTGTTTGCGGTGGGTGGGTGGGTGGGTCGGTGGGAGGGGGAATTGGGGAATTGAAAACCGCACAGGAGCAACAAAGTGACGGGGAGGAGACAGCATGGTTGGCTCCGTACAGTGCGAAAGAAGTCCAACATACATGCATGGTTGGTTTGAAACTACTACAAATTAGTGCCGTGGTATAATCCCAAAATGAAACGAAATTGCAAAAAAGTTATTTTGGCTTTGCGGAAATTGAAGGTTATTAACATGTGATTTTATATATATACACGAACACACAATATATTTAATGTACTGAGGCACTTATCAACAAATATCACTATAACTATATACATTAACGATTTTTTTTTCTTTACCATGACATTTTTTTGGTTTGGCAGGCTCAGATTAACTCCATCTTAATTTAAAACATCACAATTACAGTACAATTTGGATTATATACCATTAACCTAAATGCACTCCATTAAAAACCACTGCAACTCGGCCACATCATTTCAATCTGCCTGTGCATACAGTATAATGGGCCAACTTCCAAACATGCATTTTCACACAAATCACAAAAATAACGCATTCATCACAAACGCCGCACATCTAAACACAAACTCTATTTACCCACTGATATGGTTCATCTTTAAAACATTTACGTCTCGTAAGTGAAAAAGGCCAATCGTTTCATTTCGCTATTTGAGGTTTTTTTAGCCCAACTGGCCAGGATTGGGCACCGTCACAGCCCCTGCTACAACCCGAGAGCACCGACTAGAGATACAATCTTCACTTGTCGCTGCCACGACAACAATTCATAATGTGCAATGAAATAAATAATAACAAATATATACGAATTCGGAAGAAAAGGAAGAATCGATTTAACGTTTTTTTTTTTCAAGGCATCAGCTTATTAAACCGCCGTCTGGCACGAAGTAGCGGTCAGGACAGAATATGGTGAGTTGCCGTGATCTGCGGTTGTGTGGCACTGCCAACAAAGTGCCCTCCGTGTATTTTCGTACAAATTATTGCGGTCGCTGAAGAAACACGGTAACGCGTTTACCACCTTTTTTTGAGGGGCCTTGAGGGGGGGTGTGGGGGGGGCGGGAGGGGTGGGGTGGGGTGGGGGGCAATGGGGAGGAGGGCAGACTAAGAAAGCAAAGATGCCCTCAAGCCGTAGCAGTCGCCCACTTTCGATTCGTCTTGCTTATCCGATCTACCCTCAGGGTGATACATAAAGGCATATGTGAGTAGATATATGCTAAGAGAGTTTAGTGTCTTTACTACGCAACTCCCCCCCCTCCCCCCAGCGGCAGCGATCATTAAGTTACGGTGAAATGCAAATGGAGTTGTGGGCTAAGGCATGTTCAGTTCTCCATCGCCTATGTTGCATTTACGGCGTTTTCGTCTCGCAACTGGTGGCTATGTCCCACCTCCTGATAGTTACTATCACTGCTGATCATGTGTCCCTTTATAATTCTTCGTATTGTTATAATCGTCAGCCCACCCATTGTTGGACGAAGGCCTTTGCCATGCTCACGCAGTGTCAGTAACGCCTGTTGTTTGAGGCCCTCTTAGCCACGCTGGTCGGCGTGGGTCGGCGTGGGTCAGTGTGGGTCATCGTGGGTCAGTGTGGGTCATCGTGGGTCGGCGTGGGTTGGCGTGGGTCAGCGTGGGTCATCGTGGGTCAGTGTGGGTCATCGTGGGTCAGTGTGGGTCGGCGTGGGTCAGCGTGGGTCAGTGTGGGTCAGCGTGGGTCAGTGTGGATCAGTGTGGGTCGGCATGGGTCATCGTGGGTTAGTGTGGGTCATTGTGGGTCAGCGTGGGTCATCGTGGGTCAGTGTGGGTCATCGTGGGTCAGCGTGGGTCAGTGTGGGTCGGCGTGGGTCAGTGTGGGTCAGCGTGGGTCAGTGTGGGTCATCGCGGGTCATCGCGGGTCAGCGTGGGTCATTGTGGGTCATTGTGGGTCATCGCGGGTCATCGTGGGTCATCGTGGGTCAGTGTGGGTCATCGTGGGTCATCGTGGGTCAGCGTGGGTCGGCGTGGGTCAGCGTGGGTCAGCGTGGGTCATCGTGGGTCAGTGTGGGTCATCGTGGGTCATCGTGGGTCAGCGTGGGTCGGCGTGGGTCAGCGTGGGTCAGCGTGGGTCAGTGTGGGTCAGCGTGGGTCAGCGTGGGTCAGTGTGGGTCGGCGTGGGTCAGCGTGGCAGTGGGCAGGAGGACCAATTCAGCGACCATTCACCAATCATTTTAGCCTTGGACAAGCATCAAACTCAGATGTCTGGGCTCGTAGCAACGACTGCAATGCACTAACTGCCGCGCCTCCACTCCCCCAATGTCTCTTCTTTTGTGGCGAGGAGGAAATCCTCAGAGTCTCCATATAAAAAAAAAACACGCAGCTTTGTAGGCCATGAAATCCCACCAACACTTGCATCGACGGTCCTCATCAGTGCTGAGAGACAGAGTGAGAATATAGAGCCATAAAATGTGCTTATCTTGCCAGCATTAGCGGGCGGCCTTAGTTTCGTCTATTTAGTGACATCCTTACTGAAAGCCCGTCCAATACACACGTGTGTAACACCCATCAGCTGTTAATAGCGGCTTATTTCCTTCCAAACACTCTCGAGAGTCCCTGGAAATTACTGACATTGAGTCCCAAGCCCTCATTCACAGTAACAACCTCTCCAGCACAGGCACATCTTGTTAAGCTCCAAGGTAACAGCTCGGGAGTGGTGTGTGAGTGTGTGAGCGTGTGCGTCGGTGTACGTGAGTGTGTGCCTCGGTGTGTGTGTTGGTAGGTCTCCTCTAGGGGTGAACTCATCCTTAAATTAAATCCTGTTGCGGTGTGCCAACATCAGCACTGGGGAAACAAACGCGGCCTGGCGTCTTGTTGGACACTGGACACCCACCCCTATCGTGTGCTGTGCCGGCCATCATGGGTGTTCGCTAACAGCACTTGTCCCAAAGTATGTTAAGGCTACACGGTGGGGGGGGGGGGTCGTTGTCTTTGTCTATACATTACGTGCATTACACAGACGAGGAACCTAAAACGCTGAGCAGCCAACTGAAGGCAGTCTCGCCAGCCAAATGCGAGGTTACCAACCCTTGAATAACACAGTTAACACTACACATTGCCATTGGGTTTGCTAAGACAGAACAAAATAGCTCATCTTTTACGCCAAGTCAACACGAGTAATAATTTACAGCCTCTTGTCAATCCAGACCTCCCCACACTGTGTCAGTGATTGGGAGTTGTTTGACCATACTTCGCCACGCTGGTCATTGTCGGTTTATTGAAGCCAGGGACACCAAGACTGCTTTGTAAAATGACTCGCCACTGAATTTCGCTGTGGCCGTGAAACCAATTCAGGTCGCCAGGTTCATCATAGCACGGTGCTCTAACCACTGCGCCACTACTCCGCATGGCACACTGCAGTACAACCGAAAAATCCACACGGTGCGGTGTTATATACGAGGCCAACGTTTTGGACAATCGTTGAGATTCCCAGCGAGCATGTAGACAATAATAATCAAGCATTAATATTTAATTGCGGAAAACAATTCCAATGCCCCTCATATTTATGGGGTGGGGTGGGTGGATTTAATTTGACAGATAAATATCTGCACATGACTGCTTGCTCTGTCCGAGCTCAGATTATAGCTTGGAGGGTTTTACTTGGTAAAATAGAAAAACAAATGTTTTATTTGTTATTTTTTGGAGTGATTTACTTACCTTTCCTATACTTTGCACTCATATCGTGTTTTTTCATTGTTTTTCAGTTGTAACACTCTGACAAGCCTCTCACTGGACATCTGTCAAAACGTGCTTTATTGCTCATCGAATTCTTCCACCATAAATAAAGATTCTGGTTCTGTTAACAAACTACGTTTCGATTTAAAGCTTTCGTGACTGCAGTAATTCATATTCTTAGCTCTTTCGGTAAAGTCACATTGAAGGGAAACAATAAAATAATAAAATATATATAAAAAAATAAAAAATTCTCACGACGTTTCGACCATAACACAAACGGTCGTCATCACCTGATGACACAAACGGTCGTCATCACCTGATGACGACCGTTTGTGTTATGGTCGAAACGTCGTGATAATTTTTTATTGTTTAATATATATTTTATTATTGTATTGTTTCCCTTCAACGTGACTTTACCGAAAGAGCTAAGAATATAAACTACGTTTCGTCCACGTAAATCACGATGGCCACTTGGGTCCGTGTGGCCAGAACTTGTCTTGACGCGGTCAATCACACGCAGGGCTCACCACACACAGCCACCAGTGTACATCGCTGCTTAGCATATCAATCCGCCCCAGGAAAAACGTGCCCCGCTGGTTTGGACATATGGACTAAAAAACGATACACAGCCACACACACACACACCGTGTAAAGCAATCTCTGCTGGGGCATACAGTACAGCTCTTTAAGAAAATACCCAAAAAATTAAGAATGTTTAAACTAAGAGGAGGAATACGGGGGTGGTAGAACCCATGGTCACTAGGCCAGGGGTCAACAGGTCACAGTCGCCCGTCCCCGCCCACGCTTTGAAGGGAAAATGAGCGAAATGCTTTGACCGCCGCATTGCCTTTGATATTGTAATCGCCGGCCTAATCTGCATTTTACGCGGAAGGGGGTGAGAGGTGCAGAGGTGGCGAGGCGTTTTGAGAGAGAGCAGAGCGAGAGGCAGGCAGACAGATAGACACGGGGGGTGGGGGGCCGTGGAATAGACGGAGGGAGTGTAGAAGCACATAGAGGCGAGGTGGGGGGTGAGGGGTGTGAAGAAGCACAGAGACGACACCGCAGATGGAGACAGGGGGTGAGAGGAGAGGGAGGGAGGGAGGAACAACGCGGGAACGCGAAGCAGATGGAGACGGATGGAGCGACGGGGATGCGAAACGAAGGACAGCAGGAGCGGGAGACGAAGGGAGGCACTGCTGGGGAAAATGGGGCGAGAGAGCCATGGGCAGCGAGAGGGGCGAGCGCCATGAGATGGTGCAGGACGGGTAGCGGAG